ATCATATTCCAAATCTATCGATTATGCCAAAAGTTATTTGCTCTCTCTGATAGATCTGAATTCAAGCATAGATAACGAATAATTATTGACGGAAATTGAAATTACTTAATCTGAGTGCCAACAAAACACAACTTGTGCTCGATGTTTATTGATAGAGCAGAAAATGACAGATTTGGAGTAAAACATACTTATGGCAGTTTGTAGTGAATCTCGGATTTTTTTCTTTTTTCCTTCCATTTGAGTTTGACATTGACACTGATTTATTATTTATATGAAATATGTATATGAATCTCAGAGTAGTGAATATTTTTCATTACTCTGAGTATATGAATAACAAAACATGCCGGAAACAACATCTTTATGTTTATCCATCCAAGGGTGCTTTTTAACCGAGACAGTATTTTTGGCTGTGCTGGGCCACAAATAAACAAGAAAAAAGAAGAAGTAGAATTACTTTTTTTCAAAAAAGTGTTGACAAAGTTGAATAAAAATTAAGAATTCGTCATTGAAAACAATTCCGCTTTATTCAAAGATAATGGCTATTAAGGATTGTGGAATATTTATTAAGAGAGAGCTTGAATCTGTTGGGGATGAAGAGGTTTTTGAAAGAAATATTATGAAATGTGAAATAAGTGAAACGGAAATGGTCAGTGAATCTGGAAAATATGATATGATTACCCATAACTTCGAAGAAAAAGATGATATGGATCAGATTAAAAGCGAACGTGTCATTGATGTTTACCATGAACCCAAATCAGAAAAATGTTTAGAAGAAATAAGTGAAGGTCCCCAAAGTAAGTTCCTTGATATTCAGGTTGAAGATATCACTCAGAATTCAAAACCCATATTTTGCTTCACCACAGGTACTATAGTCTAAAGAAGGTTTTTTTATATTCAGTAATTTTCCAATATCATTCAATATGTTCAGTTGGTTTCAGTTTTATTGCTGAGTTTTTGTTGCTGTGATATCCATACTGGAATGAATATTCCCGTAATTTTTGTGTTTTTTTTTCCTCTAACAGTTGATACTTTTCATTCCGTCTCAATTGACAAAATCTTTAGAATCACATCTTTTCGGCCTCCTGTGGAAAGCTTGTACCACTTGTAGACAATTTTCTGTACAATCAAAATGTTGTTTAGCTGGGAAAGGGATCAAACATTTTTTCGTAGGTGAACAATTTAGTTTTGGGAAAATTTTACTTTATGTGATAGTCACGGAATTTTGCAACTTTTTTTGTGATGAAACTTTTTATTTTTTGTCGGACTCAATTAGTTTTCGAGATATAGCTGTCAAAGTTTGTATGATGTCATATTTTACCTTTTTTATTAAGCAATAAACGATTGCAATTCACATATTTTTAATTCAACGCATTTGTTTCCATATCATTGCACTTTTTTCTATCCCTTTTTATTCACTTGTTGCCAAGTATCTTGAAATTAGATTGAAATTCCATAATTTGTCACATGCTAACTCAACCTAACCTAACCCGACCTAACCTAACTCAGTCTAACTTTACTTTATAATTTAAAAAACTATGTTTCCTCAACATCTAACCTGACCTCCAAATTCTAAAAGGAACGTATTTTCGAATATTTACTTTTGTAAAAACTATGTTTTCTCAACATCTAAACTGACCTCCGAATTTATTTATTTATTTGTAATACAATACTTTACAGGACATAGCCCAATCACAGAGCAGGAAATAACAAGAGTATGTACTGTGACTGTAAAGTCTATAAACACTACAAACAATACAAACAAGTGACTATAAAGACTACACATTTTATATTTATTATAGGTGACAAAACAATTATTTTATGAAGTGGAATTTTATATTTGACAATTTGCTATTAAATATATCTAAATTATCGCTAACAGAATTTGTCACTTTACACATGGTATGGATCGGAGAATTCTCCAGAACATTTGTGTGAGATGTTTTTATATAGAAAGTACTCGGGTATCGAAGGCCTTAGAAAAGTCTGTGTAAATAACATTAGTTTGGGCCCTATTGTCAACAGATTCAGCAATATGTTGTGTTACAGTCAGAAGATTGGTGACCATTGAACGATTTTTCATAAAACCGTGTTGTTTTTACTTATATTGCAACTAACATGCCGATATATAACTCGCTCCAGCAGAATGTCAAAACCTTTGCAAAGTTGCAAATAATAGAGATAGGCCGATAATTTGAAATATCTCGTCTATCTCCTTTCTTGAAAATGGGACAGACTTATGATAATTTCCAGATCCTTGGTGTTGTAGCCGATCTTAAGCAGATTAGTATAGATTAGTATAGATAGAGGAGAGCAAGCAAAAGTGCACAATCTTTTAGGATGAAAGCTGGAATGTCGTCTAGACCAGTGGTCTTTTTAGGCTTGAGCGACCTTAGTGCCTCGTATACTTCGTTTTCACTGAAGCTTGATATATCAAGAAAGTGATTATTATCAATATCAGAGTTTGGTTGAAAAGGGGAAGAAGAGGTATACGATTGTTTGAAAAAATTGGCAAAATCGTGGGTTTTTTTGGAGCTACCTCGTTTNTTGGATTCCTAATTTACGCATCAAAATACATAAATACACTCAAAATTTTTTTCAAAATCACCGGGTGCCCTCAAAACGAATATTTACCATTACTGAATGCAAAAAACCTTCATCAAACTACAGTACCTGTGGTGGGTTTTGAATCATGAATCATATCTTCACCCTGTATATCAAGGAACTTATTGTGATGACCTTCACTTATTTCTTCTATACATTTTTCTGATTTGGGTTCATAGTCAACATTAATGACACTTTCAAATTTAATCTGATCTATATATTTTTCTTCGAGGTTATGGGTAACAATTTCAATACCAAACATATCATATTTTCCAGATTCACCGACCATTTCAGTTTCACCTGTTTCACATTTCATGATATTTGTTTCAAAAACCACTTCATCCCCAACAGATTCAAGCTCTCTCTTAATTATTATCCCTCCAAAGTCATCGGCAGCCATTATTCTTGAACAAGGAGGATTTTTTGTTTTAAACCATCGACATAACCTTAATCTTAGAGGTTATGTTGGTGATAAATACTCCAAATCTGTCACTTTCTGCTCGATCAAATGTATCTCATGAACGTTTTGTTAGCAGTTGTCATTTTTGAAAATCAATCCTCCAATAGAAACAAGGCCCTGAAATTGTCACTCATGCCAACCTTAGTTAACTAACAATTATTAAACATTAGCATCAGTCAGGGTAAGATAAACGATTTGAGTAGTAACTGCAACATTAACTATCAGCTAAGCTTAGCTTCGAGGTAACTAACAGGAGCATTTAACTACGTATTGATAAACCGGCCCTAACTCATGAACTTTTTGTTAGCAGTTGTCATTTTTGAAAATCAATCCTCCAATACGTTGATTCTTCTGTCAAGTCAGTAGTTGCTATTTAAACCCAACGCAATTTTGCTTCAAATTTTGTTTGAAAATTTTTCAATTGAACTCTGAAACTGATAAATTGAAAACGATGTTTCGTGGATTGGATCTGATATTTGAAATTTTCGTATATCACTCAATATATTTTAAGTTTCTTCTATTATTTATTTTCCTCTTCACAATCGGCAGTAATGGTAACCGTCACCGGAAAGATAAAAAGTGTTCAATCAGGGGTTTTGTTCCACGTGGAGTAATGACTTATTGGGCCTCACCACCACACCAACCTACGAACACATCAAACGGAGATAAAGGTGTTATGGAATAGCCGCATGGAATTGCCTACTGTAGTACCAATATGGGTTTTCGAAAAGAATATTCTAAGCATCTATTTCCCAGCATGTAGAGTAATAGGCAAATGTGGTGGAGAGGACCAATAAAATCTCTGAGCTCTAAGTATAAAATTAACATGTCGGCGCCCTGAAGAGTCTATAGATTAGTGTTTCTCAAACTTTCCGAATTCACGGCTTCATTATGTTTTTTGAAGGTTATCGCGGCGCCCCGAACGTAAAGACTACACTAGATACTTAATTAATGAAAGTAGGTAGGTGGCTGTCTGAATGGATTGCATTTTGCAATTACCGATATTATCATATTATCAGAGGATTTTTCTTAATAGATACCGACGTATTACCTTTACTGTCAGTTATCTATGTTGTGAAACGTTGTACCTTGAGACTCACCCGTGGCTCACGGCGCCCCAGTAAAGGTTCCACAGCGCCCCAGGACGCCGCGGCGCACACTTTGAGAAACACTGCTATAGATGAAAGAGACGGAACATATACCTCTCCGATCTTTGGGTATATGACAAGTGCTACACCGCATTATCATTACGTTGTTAGTCTGAAAGTAGTGTCCTGTAGAGACTGTAATATATTAAATAAAAAGCCACTCAAACCAATACACGAGTTGGAAATCCAGTTAGGACTCTTCCCACGAGTAGAGGTGAGAGAGTGATGAACACTACGACAGCATCGAGTCGAAGTTAACGAACGGGTGTATTAAGGTACACCACGATCATGGTACACTACGATCAATTTCGAAAAAACTGCATGGTCATGCATAAACGTAATTTGGTCTGGGAACATGGGATGATGAATAGGCTTCTGGTCCACTCAAGCGGTGTAACCGTGGGATGTGATCTTATTAATGTGACTTTACTGAATGGGCGGAACGAGGTATGAAGTGAGTTCATCGTTGCCTTACTGAGATATGTGCAGTGTATGCTAGTCAGCATTGTTCCTACTAGTACAATTGTACTATTTCTAGTACTTTTCCCTGTCTTCTGGTACGTTAGAACTACTACAGAGAGTTCTAGGCAATTCATATACTATTTCTAGTACTTTTCACTGTCTTCTGTTACGTTAAAACTATTATTGAAAGTTCGAGGCAATTCTAGTACATTTTCATTTTTTTGTCGAAGAAGAAGAAGGAAAACACTGAAAATGGCATTTAATAACAGTATAGAATATAATATATTTTTTAATAAAAATGAGAAGTTGAAAAAAATTACNATTGATGGTTTTCCTCCAGTTACATATATGGATATTGCTTCGTATTTGGTTTTTACCCACAGCTTTTATTCACATGTGCAGATGAAGGCATATAAAAGTTTGGAATCGTATAAATATTTCGAATCTGACTTTGTTGTGGAGGTGGGAACAAAGATTGAAAACAATTTATACATTTTAGTTGGATAGGTGAGTTTTTCTAAGCTGGCAGTATGCTAACTTTCTGATAGTATAGGCAATTCATCTAAAAAACAATATACTTACGTTAAACTGTGTGTATCCACGATCAGCTATGCCTGTGAATTATTATTCATTGTGTTCTTTGTTGATCAAGAGAATGATTCAATATTCATTTGAATGTCCCAGAGTTATTCTTACAATTGATACTAATCTCTTGATAACTTATTTTTAGGTCAAGCATTCACAGAAAGCAAATGTGAAACCTTTAGATGTTTGGTGCATCATAGCAAAAGATGGAAGCGTATGTACAGCTCACTGTACTTTTATGGCCGGAAGAGTGAAATTTGTAGTCACGTTGTCGCCATATTATTTGTTGCTGATTATGCAAATACCAAGAAAGCGGCAATGTACCAGTACATGAAATGGATTGTGAGTTTACAATTACTATGGATTTTCATCAAATAACGGCAGAGTCAATTGAAAATATTTTGAATTGTTCAACTTGTTATGTATGAAAAAGCTCTATTTTGAGTTTTCTTGTGATACGTTTATTGTCTATGTTTTTATTTAATAAATGTGCTGTGTACCATGAATATCGACTTTTAATTAATACATTTATCAAGAATATATAATAAGAGTTTTACTATTCCAACACTCAACATACAATTTATGATATAGTCTTTTCAGTCAGTTGTTCAAATTTTAGAGACAGGTCTTCCTTCGTTAAATCAGTCCGTGTTAAAATGCCTGTGTCATGTCCATCTCTAGGTTCATCATTATCAGTCAATATCCATATAAGACTGGGGTTCATTCTGTCAACAAAAAACATTTCAAAATCATGTTAATACATAAATATTTCACCTGAAACAACACCACTTACTTGAGAGAATTTTCTTTTATCCAACCTCGCTTTTCTATCAACATCTTTAGAAGTTTTTCGAACATATTGTGATGAATGTCCTCCATGTTCTGCGAAGGGTTGGTTTCATCTTCTATAGAAGCAGGTTTGCCTGAAAATAATATGTATATTATCAAGTAGTTTTCACTAAACGCAAAATAGCTTTCAGTGGAGACCTGAAGTATCCACAGACTCACTTGTTATAAAATATCTGCTGCAGACTTTCTGATACTTGATCTTCGAATCTATGAGATCATATGGTTCGATTGCAGCTAACCATAGGGTTCTTCGCTTTCTGGATAACTCTTTTTTATTAGTCAAAAACTTGTGTTTCGAAACTGTAGAAACAGAGTAAAACCTGACTTTATCTCTGTTGTTACGAGATCCACAGCCAACCACGTTTGTTGAAGTTATCACCCGAAGATTGTGGATAATAACAATCGAAACGTCGTGACGTAACTCGGTTTGGAATCATAATTTTTATTCTTCATTTTTGTTAATAATATTTTTCAGCTTTTATTATTATTTCAATTTTATTTTCTGGTTGTAGCTTGTATGTTATTTTATTGTAATTTCAGTTTTTTGTTTTAATAAAATTGTTATTTTCGGTTAACCTTTTTTATATTTACTTTTTTCAGGGATTTTAAATCAATTTATATTACATTAGGCAATGGAAGTCCAAACTGATGAAACACAGCCAACCACAATGCACGTAATGGGCATTTCCCATTAGTTAAAGGACTAATTATTAATTAAAATTTAAAAACATAATCGAAATACGCACAGGAAATTACAAAAAGAAACAATAACTACTATGGTGGCATATCATAAAATACAATGTTTGCCCTACGCCGCCATATTGCATTCGTTTTGACAGGTCGCTGGATTGGTCTATAATGTTATAGTTCAATGTTGATAAAAGTAGTTGTTTCAAAACTAATTGGGTTATTTCATGCGATTTCAAATTAGCACAATGACTTCAGGCAGATTTTACACTAAAATGGTTTTTTCCCAGTATGAATTTTTTAATGGATTTTCAAATTACTACTCTGTGTAAAAGCCTTTAAGCAGATTCTACACTGGAATGGTTTTTCCCCAGTATGAGTTTTTTCATGTGTTTTCAAATTACTATTTCGAATAAATGACTTCAGGCAGATCGTACACTGAAATGGCTTTTCACCAGTATGGGTTCTTACATGCGATTTCAAATTAGCACTGTGAAAAAATGACTTTGAGCAGATTTTACATGGAAATGATTTTTTTCCAGTATGAGTTATTTCATGTGTTTTCAAATTACTAATATGAGTAAAAGACTTCAAGCAGATTTTACACTGAAATGGCTTTTCACCAGTATGGGTTCTTTCATGAGATTGCAAATTAACACTCTGAAAAAATGACTTTGAGCAGATTTTACACTGAAATGATTTAATCCCAGTATGAGTTCTTTCATGGTTTTTCAAATTAGTACTATGAATATAAGACTTCAAGCAGATTTTACACTGAAATGACTTTTCAGCAGTATGGGTTCTTTCATGAGATTTCAAATTAACACTCTGAAAAAATGACTTCCAGCAGATTTTACACTGAAATGATTTTTTTCCAGTATGAGTTTCTGCATGTGTTTTCAAATTACTATTTTGATTAAATGACTTCAGGCAGATTTTGCACTGAAATGGTTTTTCACCAGTATGAATTTTTTCGTGGGCTTTCAAATTACCTCTTCCAACAAATGACTTTAGACATATTTTACATTGGAATGATTTCTCCCCTGTATGAGTTTTTTTATGTATTTTCAAATGACTTTTCGAAATGAATGATTTCGAGCAGATTTTGCACTGATACGGTTTCACATTAGGATCGTTAGCAGTGTCAAACTCCTTTTGACCTAACGCTGATGACTTCTTTTCATTGAAGCTCTCTTCTTTCTTCTCGATGACTGTTTCATCCTCTATTTTAACAAAGATGTTCCCAGAATCTGTGAAAAATTTACAAATTTACAAAAAATTATTTGTTTGAAATTGATCATATTTCATTTATTCAATGTCGATTCAACCCCCCAAAATGGAGTAACCTTTTGGTTTTCTACTATCAAAATAATTTATAACCACTGAAAATTTCTGAAACAAAGTTATTGATTGTTGTGTAATGTGTCTGAAACAGACCATAAATTTATATAAACTAAAAAACTTTCCATGAAATTAGGAAATGTATATTTATACGAAAACTATTTACTGGTCATAAAGATTCCGAAATATAACTAAACTATTTTAATGTAAACCAATCAAACAGATTAATAATAAATCAAAGTATATATATTCATATTTTTTCTTTTTTGATGTTTCTTGAATGAAATTCAAGATTTGATTAGAAATTAATTGTAAATCACTACTGAGGAGATTTTTTGTAATTTATTATCAAGTCACTATTTAGACTGATAGGTAGAATTGGAATGTCTGGCATAAAATTGATCTATTGAAAGCCTTTTTCACATACTATAACTAAAGCACACTTTCTTGGTGTGCTTTTCGCAGTTGAAGTGAAAAGTATCAAGGAAGGAGGAATAAGGTGTAAAGGTGACCTAGTGAATAAACGCTTGTTTTTAAATAGATTATCTTGTGAAAAAGAAGGCTGAAAAATTGCCCTTTTCTGAACTTTGGAGGGCCGTAACTTTGTAAATAAGAAAGAGAGCCGCTTTTTTCTATTGGATTCGTAATTTACGCATCAAAATACGTAAATACACTCAAAATTTTTTTCAAAATCACCGGGTGCCCTCAAAACGAATATTTACCATTACTGAATGTAAAAAACCTTCATCGAACTACAGTACCTGTGGTGGGTTTTGAATCATGAATCATATCTTCACCCTGTATATCAACGAACTTATTGTGAGGGCCTTCACTTATTTCTTCTATACATTTTTCTGATTTGGGTTCATAGTCAACATCAATGACACTTTCACATTTAATCTGATCTATATGTTTTTCTTCGAAGTTATGGGTAACAATTTCTCTACCAAACATATCATATTTTCCAGTTTCACCGACCATTTCATTTTCACCTGTTTCACATTTCATGATATTTGTTTCAAAAATCACTTCATCCCCAACAGATTCAAGCTCTCTCTTAATTATTATCGCTCCACAGTCATCGGCAGCCATTATCCTTGAACAAGGAGTTTTTTTTTGTTTTAAACCATCGACATAACCTTAATCTTAGAGGTTATGTCGGTGACAGATTTGGAGAATCTGTCACTTTCTGCTCGATCAATATACAAACATCGAGCACAAGTTGTGTTTTGTTGACACTCAGATTACAGATTAAGTAATTTCCGTCAAAAGTTATTCGTTATTTATGCACGATGTATTCAGATCTAACAGAGAGAGCGAATAACTTTCGGCATAAATGATAGGTTTGGAATATAATTGATGCAGTAACGTTACCTACAAATGAAAATGAAACATAGAAAGTTTCATTTATCTTTTCTTCATTGCTCAAAAACACTTGAAATGTTGATTGTGACATACGGTGATTATACTCTGAGTCAGAAAAATGTTAACAAGAGGTACAAGCTTTTCACAGAAAGCCAAAAAAAATGTGATTCTGAAGATTTTGTCTATTGAGAAGGAATGAAATGTATCAATCGGTAGAAGAATTAAAAACACAAAAATTAAGGGAATGTTTATTTCAGTGTGAATATCATATAGAATGGGATTGGAAAATTTAATATAAGATAAAAAAGATAACTTTTGTATGATTTCTAGTAAGTTTTCAATTTCTTACAACTGGTTTCAGTTCGTTAAACCATTCTCAAGTAAACACAGTTTACTATATTCTACTACTTCCACTCAGTACCAATATTCAATATGAAGTGAGGAAATCACAAAGAACAATCAAACCTAAGCAGTTTGAAGACAATGTTACTTATGCTTGTTTGCAAGACTTCAACTATAATGACGATCCAGTTACCGTAAATGAAGCTATGTCATGGAGAGCAGCTGAGTTATGGAGGAAAGCCATGTCTGAAGAAGTTCAGTGCTTTGAAGATAATGATGCCTGGGAGTTGAAAGACAGCGTTCCTGATTTGTCGACAGTTGTTCCATGCAAGTGGGTCTTCAAGCGGAAAGTGGTGAAGTGAAACATCGTGTGCGTTTAGTTGCAAAAGGTTGTGTTCATTATGTGCGGGTGTTAATTATGATGATGTTTTCTCACCTGTAGTGAGGCATTCTAATTTGAGGTTAGTGATTGCATTAGCAGTAAAATTAGATCTTAAAATATTTCATCTTGATGTTGAAACTGCTTTTTTAAATAGTCCACTAGATCAACCTGTTTATATGAAACAACCTGAAGGTTTTGTATATAGGCTAAGAAAGGCTGTATACGGTTTCAAACAATCTGCTAGTGCTTGGAATGACAGAGTGAATGAAGTTTTGTCTGAGTTGGGTTATACTAAATCGAAACATGAGTCTTGTTTATTTATTAAAAGAGACAAAACATCCTTGACTTTCATTGCTTTATATGTAGATGATTTCTTTGTTTTTTCTAATGATTGTGAAAACTTTGAATCTTTGAAATAAAAATTGAGTGAAGAATTTGATATAAAAGATCTTGGTGAAGCGAGAAATTGTTTAGGGGTTAACATATCAAAAGATTATGATAAAAATGTGATTTTATTAGATCAAGAAAATTATATAGATAAAATTTTGATGAATTTTGGTATGGAAAATTGTAAAACTGTTAATACTCCAATGAACTAAGTTTGATGTTGAAAAGTTAATAGAATCAAATTGTACTAACCTACCATATCAAAAACATATTGGGAGTTTAATGTATCTATCAGTGTTAACTAGACCAGACATAATATTTGCAGTTAATTACTTGAGTCAATTTAATGGTAATTAATTAGAATATCATTGGCAATGTGCAAAGAAAATACTCAGGTATTTGAAAGGTACAAAGCATTATCGATTGTCATTTTTTAAAGATAATGGATCTATTGATTTAGAAGGTTTCGTAGACTCTGATTGGGCCAACGATCAAGACAGAAAGTCATACACAGGATATGTATTTGAACTCTAAAATGGTCCAATTTCATGGCAAAGTTGTAAGCAGAGTAGTACTGAAGCTGAATATATAGGTCTTAGTGAGTGGCTTCTTTGGAAGCCATTTATTTAAAAAACATTCTGGGTGAATTAGTTGATTATAAAAGCAGTGTTATAATTTACAACGATAACGAAAGTACTCAAAAACTAGCTTTGAACCCGATATTTCATAAAAGGTCAGAGCACATTGATGTAAGGTACTATTTTGTTAGAGAGTGTGTCTCGAACAATTCAATAACTATTCATTATCAACAGACTAATGAAATGGTAGCAGATATTTTGACAAAGGGTTTGGCAAGAGCTGACCATTCTTATTTTGTTGAGAAATTAGGCTTGATAACTTAGTTATTTGAGATACTGGGGGTGTTGAATATACCTCAGAATAACGTTTTGTACTATGACGGATGGCAGCACTGGCTGCAAAGTGTATTTCCGATGACACGGTGTGTTCTGTCCTTTAATAAAACTAGTCTTTTGCTGATGCTTGAATGTAACAGTTTTTTTTGTATCTGTGTGTATTTTATTTCACCGCTNGCCGATAACACTTACTCCAACCTAGTATTTTTCTCATCCTGTTTCACCAGAAAAATATCTCCTCAGAAATAATAATGAAGAGAATGAAAACGTGTCATTATCTTCCAGGTTATCTGATTAATTTTATTTGTCGATATAAAAATCAATAACAATTACCAGTTGTTTTTTTTTATTCATCCAACCATTTTTAAACTTGAACAATCTTTAAACTCCTTTTCGTATTTTGAGAACGCATCCAATTATTTTAAAACTTCAAACTTCATAGCTTATCGATGAGATTTACATTTTCTTTTATAAATATGAAAAAGTAGAAAGCCAAAGCTTCTCTCAACTAGTACTTGATGCATCAGATTAATGTATGAGTAATTGTTTGTGCAACGGGACAATCCCACGAAGACTGTAGTCGCACATTATAAACAAAGTCTCACGAAAGCTTTCTGATAATCCACAGATTAACTGTCAACAACAACTGACAGCGGAAACTGTGGATCATTATTTCTAATCCGAATAAATAACTGTTTAATACCCATAACATAACTTTGACACGGAAACTGTGTTTTGAAATTTTTGTGAAGTCTTCATCGTTTAGGTTTGAATTGTCAACTCGGGTGGATTGGTATCTTTGGAGCATCAGCTATCTCGATCGACTTCATTTTGAGGTCATCCAGAATTATATTGTGGACTTTTTTGGTGTTTTCGGCGGTGACGGTCTCTTTGGGGTGTCCACTGGGTGCATCGTCCTCAGTGCTCATTTCACCTCGTTCAAACTTAGTACATAGTGCACATAGTGCATTGTTTTGGCTAGAATATTAGAAGACAAGTTTAAAAACCTATAGTTGTGTCTTCATCATCATCATGTTCTGAGTTTGAAAATAAGAAATGTTCGAATTTTTTCTTTTCGTAGTCATGGTCATGGGGGGGGGGAGGTAACTACCTCAGGTACGCGCCTGATCATAATACTTCATCGGTTTTTAAGAAAACAAGTTCAGTTATGGTGATCTATTTAAATCCAGTGGGTCATTCATTANAGTAAACACATGTCCGAAGAAGCCATTGTATGGCGAAACACGTGTTGCGTTTTTGTAAAACGGTTTAGTGAAAATCTCACAATAAAGTGTTTTTGAATACGTAAGCTTTGGAACATTTAAAAATATCAAAAAATTAAAATTGTTAGCATGTGTTAAAAGCAAAAAAATATACGTTTTTGAGACAGTAAAAACATAAAATTTTAACAACACTTTCTTTTTCTTCGAAATATTTCATTTTTTCGTATTCAAACAATTTTACACGCATTCATACCGCCAAGATTATCAACTTCACACTTGCAGAGACCAACGTTTTCTAGCTCCTCCTCTCCGCTGATAGATACGTTATATGAGATATCTGTGATTCCAGTACCAGTACCAACCATAAGATTAAAAAAAGGAGTATATTGAACCCATTCGCAATGCAGCAAAATCGTTCGAAAATTTGGGAGTATCAAAATGTTATTTGAGTTGCTTAAAGAATGAAAACAATCACATTCAAACATTTCACTATATTACTGGAGTTTTTTCCCAACACCAAACCGTATTTTAAACCTCGATACCTTCAAGAGGAAGATCTTCCTCTTGAAGATGATCACTTGGTTTGGTGTTGGGAAAAAAACTTCAGTAATAATCATTACTACAGCAAAGGTTTCAAACAGTGCATCACAATTTCACTATAGTTACTCGACCCTATTTGATGATGAAAAAAAAACATTAAGGGTAAATTTATAAACTCCTTGTGAAATCTTCATCGTTTAGGTTTGATTTGTCAACTCGGTATATTTCTGAAAACACCAATGACGAGAATCGATATCACTATCAAGCCTCTGAAAGGTCGTCAGTGGTCGATCCCTTTCAACAATCACGACTTCAAATAACCCGATAGTCGAGAGCCGATTACAGTTACTCCGACCTAGTATTTTTCTCATCCTGTTTCGCCAGAAAAATATCCCACCACGAATAATAACGAAGAGAATGAATACGAGTGATTATTATCCAAGTTTTTTAGATGATCTGTTCGTTTCGCTTCAATAATTTCCATATTTCCTCCTGGAAAATTCGCCATTCTCCATTTGGATTTTGGAGGAGTAACATACTCCCTGGAAAAATTTGTACCGGAGAAACAAAAAATGTCAGAGGGGCAATTGTGACGGCAAAAAACCTGGAAATATTCCTTGATTTTGTCAAAATGACTTTTTTCATAGGCGAAAGATAATGATTTTTGAAACAAGAAGAGTATTTTTGTAGATACAAGCTATAGTTATTTGCATATAGTGTTCTGTGTAAACATTGTTGATAACTCCCAGAGCCACCTAGGGAGCATCATGGATATTATTCACAGTCCCGTCAGCCAAATGATGTAGCAAAATCAATCTATCTTCAACTGAAAAACTTTTCTTAGAAAAAATATCTTGCCAAGTCGATATGTCAAACTAGTTCTTTATAGTGATTTCATTGCTCATTAATCAACTAGATAGGTGCTTTGAGGCTTACGCAGCTAAAAAAATGAAAAAAC